CTGCATGGCAGGGGGTTGGACTGGATGGCTCTATGATTCTATGATTCTTCAGAAGGGGTTTGCCATTGGCATCCCCTGAGGCTGAGAGAGAGTGAGACTTGCCCAAGGTCACCCAGTAGGTTTCTATAGCCAAGCAGGGAATTGAACCCTGGTCTCCAGAGTGATAGTCCACCACTCAAACCACTACACTATGCTGGCTCCTAATTGATTGATAGTTGTATATCATCTGTCATCTTCTCTTCCACCTAAGGCTGCAGACCTATACACCTTTACCTAAGTCCCATTGAACTCAACAGTTAGAAAGATATAGGATCTCACTCTAAATGAGCAAGGTGCATATCAAGGTCTATGGAGTATGCTCACACCCAAGGGGGAAGGCGGTGGCCTGGATTTTGAACAGCGAAAAACTCTTGAAAGACATGGACAATAAGGCTGTTCAAATTTCACTGAGTGAAGAAACTTTCTTTTTAGGTATAGAAATTCTGGAGATAAAGCAATGGAGTGTGGAAAGACAACTAACACAAAATAGCACAAAAATAGTAATTACAGGGTGATAAACAAGGGGATTTTGGCATGCAATGCCAAATGATACGAGGGGATTTTGGCATGCAAATGCTGGAAGGATTGTATGATAAATCTAAACAGACAAAGGAATTTTGAAATTCTATACTTTAGAAACTAAACACTAGTCCTGCTACTATTACCCTTCCCTATTCCAAAAAATATTAGGGGTTGGGATGCCAAATTATTGGTATGTTCCTGAGTGATTATACCTCCTGAAGATCCTTCTGCTCCACAGATGTTGCTGACAGCACAAGTGAGAACTGTAACTTGCAACATGCTGTTTTCCAAGATGTTTGATTTCATTCTTTCACCACCATTAGGAAGAATTCGGATATGTTCCATGATTTTATTTTATTTTATTGCAAAAATATGGATTTCACACAAGTCTGTTGCTGCCTTCCTTTTCTCCATGAATGATGCTATGTGACTGGAGAAGGATAGGCACTTAAGAGATAGTTTCTTTATTAACTTTGGAGAAAGCTTGTCACATCCAATAACATCTCAAAATGGTTTATAACAAAGCATCAAAATATACAAGTCAGAAATCGAAATGTATATACAGTACAAAAACATCAATTATATATACAAAACATTTAAAATAAATATTGAGAATCGCTTCTCGTTTCTGACTTATGGTGACCCTAAGGCAATCCTTTTCTTGGCAAGATTTGTTGAGAGGAGTTTTCCCTTTGCCTTCCTTTAAAGCTGAGAGAGTGTCACTTGCCCAAGGTCAGCCAGTGGGTTTTCATGGCTAAGCAGGGATTCAAACTCTCCAGAATCAATACTCAAACCACTACATCATATGTACCATCTTCATGATACATATATTATAATTTCTATTCTGTTTTCAAGCTAGTGTATACATACAAAATATCTACAGATGGGGGGATATTTTTTTACCCTTTTTGAAAATGAAATAGATTAAGATGGAATTTTTAATAAGAGGACTTGTACTACTATAAAGAATAGGGATAGGTTTGCCAATATTTTAATATCATTGTGGAATCAGAAGGCAAGTCTGAACACCCACCCCTGAAAATC